CCCATGTGGTGGGCGAGAGGCCCCAGGTAGAATGAGACAAAGCCAAGGCGTGGGTGAGCATGCAGGCCGGACTAGTCTTGGCGACTACGGTTTAGGGGGCCAATTTGATTGAGGTACCACTCTAGCAAGAGGGCACTACTGGGATATGGACTGCTTCCTATATTTCACAGATATTTGGTGACAAGGACCTCCACCTTGATAGCGAGACCCAAGAGCCCCCTAATCCTGAACATCGTTCCTTTTATCTATAGGAATGTATAGTGCTCAAAAATTTGGATGCGGCTGCCTAGGCAGCCAGGGGTCCTGGCCGTCTGGGCAGGCACCCAGAAACCTAAGCAGTCCAAACATAAATTAGGAGGACTTAGGCCCTCTAGGGTGTTCTTATATGTTGTTGAATTGGACTGCTATATGTGGGATAAGCATGTATTTCAGAGATATTTACTCTAAGAGATTGTACTCTGAGCCATTGTGTAGACAATTTTTAGCATAACTTTTCTATTATTCGTATTAATTTTGCAGGATTATATCAATTTCAAATATTAATATTTTTATGAATTTTTTGGAGATTTCCCATCTTTTCAGAGATTTCTTAAGCCCATGGTGGACTTGTGCACCACTAGCACAAGTCCAAGTGGACTCACCCAACTTACTAGGCTCAGACAAGGGCCGAGTCCCGAGCCCGGGCTGAGTTTTTGCACACTGGTTTCAAAAGGAACTAATACTACTTTATAACCCAAAATATCTCGATCAATTGACAAATCTAATGAGATTTATGGCTGCATTAGGAGAAACCAGTATCTTAATGAGATTTCCTAGTTAGAAATCCCTGAAAGTATTTAAGTTCTCAAGATTAATTTCTCAAAAAGATTTTGAAGTGATTGATTATTGAGATCCAACTTGCCAAGAAGAATCATTTCTATAAACGATAATGACAACAAAATCGATTTGAATAATCACAAATATCCACAGTAACATATCCATGGCTTTCAAATCAGCTCTAAGCAATCAACGCTAAAATATTCAAAAGAGGCTTTTTGCCTGATTCAGCATATAAGATGATTTCGTAACACTGCAGACAAGACTTGACTGAGTGTCCAATCCATAAAAATATTGCCATCCTTAACTCAGGAGGAGTGTGTATAAATATATGTATATATAGATAGATATATAAATACATCTCAAAGCTTGACAGGCAAGTAAGCATTCTTAACACCGGCATATAATGAAGGTCATCACTTTGCAACAGCTACATATAAAAAGCACAAAACCAAGTGCTTACTTAGATTCATGCTGTATTCTCTTCACTGCCAATCTTGCTTTTCTCTCAGGCCATCAACTTTCATCTTTTTGAAATTCGTGACTTACCAATAATATGCTAGCCTTTAGGCCTAAGAACAAATTCATAGTCCATGTTTTCTAATAAATATCAATCTCATACATATGGCTTTTCTCCAATAATCACGAGAAATAAAATCCACAATTGGATGGGCTAATATAATAGACAAAAAGAGGAAATAAAATCTTCATCGGACGGTTAGGAGTTAAACAGCAAGAACATTTCATCGGAATGACCAGCTTTACCAATGAGCAGCCGCACACTGAAAATTTCCATGTACTTGAAGAGGGAAAGCATAATCAGTGATTAACAATCTTCCATGGTTGAATTACTAGCTTTCCCTCAATCAAAAAGAAGGATAGAGATACATTGAACACAATAACTGAATGACAAGATGATCCTTGTTTTTAACAGAACTCACAGAAGATGAAACTTGACAAGAAAGGCAAGGGGGTAAAGAAAATCCACCTAGAACTTGTATTTCAACTTTTCCTACCATTAAGAATCATTACAAAATGGAGATCAACACAGAATATTTTTTTCTTTTTTTAAGGTAATTGACAAGATTTGATGTAACCTAAAATCAGCCACTCACTAATCTTTGATTACAAGAGCCTAAAATTCGTTTGGAGAACACATTAAATTAAATTAAGGTTAAAATATCTACCAATTCAGTATAAATTCAACAACAAAAATGAATCAACAAACTTGTGAAAATCAACACACAATTTTTAGGAATTTATTTTAATGTCCAGGAGATTAGATTGCGGATCAATAATAGATTGGAGTCTGTCCTTAAATAAACTCAACCAAATAAAAGTTGAACCCCGGATCAAATTTTAAGATAGTCCATAGCATGGAGACAAGAAGTGGATGTAGAATAGCCTCAAATTACTTCTCGAAGGTCTCCACAACTACTTCGATGATTTCAAAGTTAATGGGGTGCAAAACAATTAAGGTTTTGATTTTTTATGAGAATTAGCCGACCCCAATTAATTGGGAAAAGGCTAAAATGATGATGATGATGATGATGATTTTTTATGAAATTAGAAATGAGATTTCAAGGGATTTATTTAGGGTTAATTCTAGGCAGAACCTAAGGGTTAATTTTAAGGTTTTAGGGGATGTTCAGTGGGGAATGTTTGCTGGTTTTGAGGGTAAAAAGAGCAAGACAATTTAAAGAAACAAGATAAACAAAAAAAAAGGCAACGAGAGAAAATTTGATAAAGAAAGAAGAATACTAAGGAGTACAAAGAATGAACGGAAGTAAAAAGGAAAAAAAAAAAGATGAAAGAAGGGAAAGAAAGGAAAGAAAAGAAGTAAGAAAGGAAAGAAAAGAGGAAAGAAAGGAATGAAAAAGAAGTAAGAAGGAAAGAAAGGAAAAAAAAGAATTAAGATGGGAAAGAAAGGAAACAAACGAGGAAAGAAACGAAAAAAAAGAAGTAAAAGAAAGGAAAAAAAGAATAAGTAAAAAGGTGAAGAAAGGAAAGAGAAAAAGAAGAAGTGAAAGAAAGGAATAAAAGAGGAAATAAGAAGAAGTGAAAGACTTGGGAGGTGCTACCAAGTCTTTTCTATGGTATTCAATCAAAGAGCTCAAGAAGTCCTTTCTAGGGTTTTGTTCTTTCTACACAAAATTCTCAAAATAAACATTCTAACGGCCATGTCCCTCTCCTTCCGTTCTATACAAAATTGCTTATAAAAAAATTGACTTAAAATACCCTTACCTAAAATAAAATAATAAAATAACCCAAAGTGCTCTGAATTCTCCACAACATGTAAAAGACATGGATAACCTAACACAATTAAAATAATTAGAAATCCAAATGGCCTTGTTTTCACTCTCCAAAAAAAAAAAAACTAAAACCCTTAATAAAATTAAAAGAAATTGGTTCCATAGAAGGCTATAATGCCCTCATATGGCAAAAACCATTATATTATGTTGGTTATAGGTTGAATTGTGTACATGAACAAGGTAAAATCCACACACTGTGGTGTCTATCACAAAGAGAGAAAGAAAAAGACCACCTTTAAATGTTATGACAGTTAATTATAAAAATTTTGCTCCTGATCCCTTCCTTTGTTGGGGACTCCGCTGTTTCATTTCACTCCCTCCAAATATGTCTAGAATGAAGCATGTACTGTCCTAGCAATCTCCCAAATAATTAGCATTGCAAGAATCGACTCATATAGAATTAGTGCCATAAAAAGCATAACATTCTTTTAATGTAATGTAAAACATTGGAAGTCCTTATTTCTTGTTGCATAACCAAAAGAGTAATAAGGTCAACCCTAAGGAGACAATTAATCCAGGAAACTCCAAGCGTCCAATCACAGTGCAGATGAAGCTTGTAGCCAAAAACCTCAAATTCTCCAATGGAAACCCTGAAGGAGTTTGAGAATAAAATAAGAGTGAAAGGAGAGGGCTTCGTTATCTGTTAAAATTATAAAAGATCACCACCAGAGTAAAAGGTTAATTTCTATGCAAGTTAATCCATAACATGAACATCATAATTTTCCATGTTGGAGCATTGGGCACTCCAATTTGTTGCCATGTACAACAACAATACCTTAATGAATAATACCCCTTAAAATAGCTCAAATCATTTACACTAAGTTTCCAAGAACCGCAATATGAATAACTATTAACTTGAGTAGGGTCTGTGGGCACAGCTATTTATTTTAATTCTTTAAACTAAAATAGAATGAAAAAATACAGAAACAAGGGTCAGTTCAATAAACCATGTTTTCAGTACACCAAATATAGAAACTACACATGTTTATTAGCAATGATCTCAAGTATCTGCGACAGTCCCAATATATTCTTATAGATGTGTTTTTTCTTTTACAAATCAAGGAACTTTTGAACAATTTAGAGTTTTCTAATCCGAAACTGCCTAGGTGCTCAAACCTCTTAGAAAAATCTTGCATAACATAAAGTTACTTTTAAAAAATCTCTTGAATCATGAATCCTTTATGAAGATTTTTCATAAAAACATGCATGCTGAATATTATAAGTGATGATAAGTTTCAACGAGTATGCATGTCTATTATCATGGTCTATAGAATATTATTCTTCTATTAGTGAATAACACTGAAATTTATTTGTTATTATAATTTTGGGATCGTAAATATGATCCTATACCAAAAGCTCTTAGAAACAATAATCTACATGCAAGTTTTTAAGAAAAACCAGCATAGCAACATTCATGACATAATAGTTCAGCATGCGATTAGTCTTCTATGGGAGTGAAATACTCGACTTTGTTTTCTCCTGCACAACATGCTCATTGCACCACAAAGATTGCAAATTAAAGTATGCACCATATGTGACAGTAAACCTCCACAACATAGATCCTAGAGTATATGTCAAGATCCTATAGTTCGTCAAAGGTTTTTGGAAGTTTTCCAGGGTAATATTTTTTAATTTCATACCTGATAAACTCAACACTGAGAATTCCAAATAATTACCTCAAATCAAGAAACTAATCCATAACATAAATAATGAGACATTGATTAAAAAACAGCCATCACATTGGTGCTTGCTTAGTTATACTTCAAAGAATTGATTAAGAAGAAGATCAATCCGATGCATATCTTCAGGACTGCAAAATGCCTCAGGTTAACAAAGAAAACCAAAGTAAATATGAAGAATAAGCGAACGTACCTGAAGAAGCACAGGTGCATTTAGCACCAAATTCTCAGATGTAATATCCCTTCCCCAAGGCAGTGCACCAGCAACTTCCACTAAACACTCCTGTCAATACATGCAGAACTAATAAGCAAAAATCTAGTTAATTCCTGAAGTTAACTAATAGCCTCCATTGATATTACTTCTTAAAGGATTTGTATTTGTGATAATTTCCATGATGAGCAATATATGCCTAAGATAATCATGTTGTGAATGTGTATACTGCACAAGATGCTTCTAGAGAACAACTTACACATTTTTTAGGATTTTTTAGGATAAAAATATGACAATGTATTGTTACTCATAACATTTACTACTAAAACCCAGGGTTTTAAAATTGCCACTTCAAACTCGAATCGTGAGATTCTTTTCAACCAAACTAGGCTGGTGATGCATTAGACAATCCTTCGACTAGTCAAGACAGTCCTCGTGAGCCTTTTGACCCAATCAATCCATCTTTTAACAACCTCCTTTATGATTATTCACATCCCAATGTCGCAAGGAGATCCAAGAGGGGAAGGCCGACTTTTTGAAGGAGTTTATTTTTAGTTTGTTCCTGTTTTTTACAACCTCTTAGTGATTTCCAATGTTTTAATTGAAGTTATGGAAAGTTTAGGAATATTTTATGTTTTAATTTGATTGAAGGGACTCATGGGGTATTTTCTAATGTTTTAACTTAAGTGAGGGTAATTTTTTGTCTTTTTTTATTATGATATACTAAAAGGACCTGGGGTGTTAGGGCGTCGCATACTTTTGAGGCGCAAACAATAAAAACAGTATGTGAACGCTAACACCACTATCTAGGGTTTAGGGTCTCTTTTTTGTGCAAGAAAAGCCAAGTCCACTCAAATCTGACCAGCTTTGATGATTTATTGAACTGAGTTTGCCATTTTTCATCTATTTTCCTGCACCAATTAGTATCAAACCCTAGGGTTTTTTTTCAAAAACAAAGCTGGGAATCCACAATCAAGTCTAGGGTTTGCTGATTTTAAGCTAAGTTTTGCCAAATCAGACTAAAACTTGCTGGTTTCAGCTATGTTTTGTTGGTTCTCTGCCTAAGGCTTGTGATTGTGGTGAACCTATGGCAGCAAGAAGAGGTCGAGGGTATTCATATGGATCCACCTCGTGATGAGCAGGATCAGGATATGTTCTATCCGAGTCAAAAAGTTCAAGAACTTATAAGGCGGCTTGCAAGCATCGATCGTGGATGAAATGAAGTTTCGTACATCCAAAACGATGTTGAGCACAACCCTTTATATGATCACGCTCCATGGAATGAGTTGAGTGAAGAGGAACATGATCAGAAGTACAGGGGGCACTCAAAATCCATAGATATTAAAGCAGAAATTCCCGCTTATGACGGAACGTCACAGCCCAACAAATTTATAGATTGGTTTACCATAGCAGGGAGGGTCTTTGATCATAAGGATGTGCCAGAGAATAAAAAGGTTAAAATTACGGCCATTAAATTGAAGAAAAGTGCTTCGACATGGTGGGAACAGCTGAGAGCAAGTCGATAAAGGACGGGGTAAACCTAAATTTGTCACAAGAAAAATATCTCCATAAAAACTATCTTTATATCAAAATAAGTTTGTATTGCGCCAAGGAGAGGTCAATGGAAGAATACACAAATGAGTTTTACCTTTTGACTGCCTGCAATGATGTGATCGAGCAGGAGGAGCAGTCCATTGGAAGGTATGTGAATGGAGTGCGCCAATTAATTCAAGATGTGGTAGCTTTGCAGCACTATTAGACCCTTGATGAGGTCTATAACCTTGCAAAGAGGGTTGAAACCCGGCAGAAACGACCCTCAAACATGTGGCATGTGGGTGCAAGTGATGGGGGGAAATAGGGTAGCATCCCATGGTGGTGATTTTGGAAGAAAAGGCAACATGTTGGTTGTTGGTTAGACATCTTGCATTACTGGAATGGCCAACCAGCAAGGTGCCCTGGGCCAATACGGGGTTGTTTCGGGAGTCGAGCGACCCGCAAAAGGGTGGAGGTAGCAACATCAAGTGCCACAAGTGTTAGACATCAGGCATATCTCATCAAAGTGCCCAATTTGCAAGTTCCTTTATCTTTCTGAGAAGTTTTATGATAAGGACAGCAAGCACTCTTTTGAAGGTGATTCCATCTATAATGAGCCGGTTGATGAAGAGAACCCGGAAGTAACCAATAGTGATCATGGGGAGGGCCTGGTGATCAGAGTAACATGATTATGCCTTGGGAAGTCGGGTCGCAGAGGAAAACGATTGGTCGCGCACGAACATGTTTCATACACATTAAGGGAAAGAGTGTAATCTAATCATCGATGGAGTGTGAAAATTAGTTTCTCAAGAGATGGTTGACAAGCTTTTAGCTCAAGACGAAAAACCATCCAAAGCCTTATAAAATTGTGTGGTTTAAGAAGGTGCTGAGGTAACTGTTTCTAAATGATGCCTTCTTTCTTTTTCTATTGGAAAGCACACAAAGAAAGAATATGGGGAGACACTGCATATGGACACCTACCATTTGTTGTGAGAGAGACCATGGCAGTATGACAGGCGTCCCACTCGTGATGGTTTAAGAAGCACTCATTCCTTTGTCAATGATAGCGTTAAAGTAATTCTGGGACCCTTCAGATGATAAGTGCTTCAAAGTCAGAAGAGAGCAAACTAATACCTTATCTTCGACAAAGTTCATGAGGGATTTGAGTGAGCACGGTTTTTTTATGATGTGGTGCCAGTTGAATAAAATCCCATTAATTCAATTCCTCCTAAGCTAGAGCAATTGATGTGGGAGTTCAATAATGTCATACTGGATAATCTTCCTGAGCGATTACCTCCTGTGTGAGAAAGCCAAAATCATAACGGCCTTACCCCTGGTTTTAGCCTCCCAAATAAAGTGGCCTATAGAATGAGCCCTAAGGAGCATTAGGAGTTGAAGAAGCAAGTTTCAAAGTTGTTACATAAGGGGTTTATCAGGAGAGTATGAGCCCATGTGCAGTGCCAGCATTGTTGACGCCCAAGAAAGATGGTTCCCAGTGCATGTGTATGGAAAGTAGGTGTAACAATCCCAAAATTTCAAAAAAAA